TTTCTGACTCTCAATCTTTGCAGTTCAATACACTTAAAGCAGAAATATTAAAAGTTTCTGAGCAAGTGAGTGAACTCAAAGCAGATAATATAATACTCAAAAGAGATATTGGTTCACTTAAGGCAAAAATTAGTAGTCTTGAAGAGAACAACTCGTTTGCTAACCCATCCACAATCACTAGCCAGGTTTTGTAAGAACTATTAGAACGAGATCGTTGTTCTTCCAATGTGATTGCTTATGGTGTATTAGAGTCTACTTCTTTAACTGGTTCTGAGAGAGTTCTNTGTCTACTTCTTTAACTGATTCTGAGAGAGTTCTACATGATGAATCCATGATTAAAAATATTTTGTGGCCGGTTAGAAATTACCTTCCAACAAATCGGATTGGGAAACCACGTCCAGGTGTTACCCGCCCACTTAAGCTAATATATACTAACAAAGAGGAAGCACAATTTTTGCTGTACCATACAACCAGGTAAAGCGGTCAGGTACTCAATTCAAAAATGGTTTTAATCTTGTCAAGGATAAAACCAAATTTGAACGACAACTATTACGTGCTTGTCACAATGATCTGTTGTCTCGTACAGCTCAAGGAGAAACAAATCTACGTATATATTATGAAAATGGTGTTCCATCTGTGGTCAAATCAATTCCAAAAAACCGGGTCCGTGAAAACATACCAATCGACAACCAGAGATTCAGCAAATTTCTCAACTTTCATAGTTCAGCCATGTACACTAGGTTTGCATGAGCATATATATTTTTATAATAAATGCCAAGTCCACTCTTAGTACTTTTATATTAGATTTCTACAATTATAAAATTAATAAGTCTTGTCCTCGTGATTTACTTACAATTAGCTATACTACACCGAATGATAATGTTCCGTTTGGTTTTTACCAAAACTGTCGTGGACTAAATTTTTTACTCTTAAGTGTAATCTTGCCAGCTTTAATTATGTATTTCTTGTTTTAACAGAAACCTGGCTTAATTCTGATATATTTGATTCTGAATTATGTTTGGATAATTATAATGTTTACCGATATGATAGAAGTATTTTAATGAGTAATTTTACTAGAGGTGGTGGTGTCCTTATTGCTGTGCATAAAGATTTTCATTCACAAATTGTTTCTATCTCTAATTTAAGTATTGAACAAATTTATGTTAGTTTTAGTTGTAATAATGACAATTTTATAGTTGGTGGTGTATATTTTCCTCCTAACTCTCCTAATCAATCCTATGATACTTATTCTAGCACAATTAAAAATCTAGTTTGTTGTTATAGCACCCATAGTTTTATTCTATATGGTGACTTTAACTTACCTAATATTAATTGGTCTAATGATAATTTAGGTATTTTCCATTCAATAGCTACCGACAACAGCCTATTTTGAGACTTTTGCTTTCTTAAACTTTTATCAAGTTAATAATGTTTTGAACGTTTACAATTCAATGTTAGATCTTATATTTACAAATAAGAATCTCTTTAAAGTTAATATGGTGCACGATCCAATTGTTCTTGAAGATCGATATTATCCTGCATTAGCTATTGATTACCCAAAAAATAAAAAAATCCATTCTTTCATGCCGTTGAATCATATTTTAATTTTACGAAAGCAGATTATACACGTATTTCAGATTTTTTCCTATCTTATAATTGGTTGAATACTTTTACTCAACTAGGCGTTAATTCAGCAACATCAACTTTGTATGATGCATTACACTTCTCTATTCTTCACTGGGTTCCACGTGTTAACTATAATAAATCTAATTTTCCTTGATGGTTTTCAAAGGATTTGATTGATACAGTGTTCCAAAAAAGAAAAGCCTACGCCATTTTTAAGGCAACACGTAATCCACTCGATTACAGAAAGTTTTCTCTACTACGTGCAAAATACAAATTTTTATCGAAAAATTGTTACAGAAAATTTATTGAACAGACTGAATCTAATTTTTGTATTAATCCAAAAAAGTTTTGGAACTTTGTAAAAAAGAGTAAATCACAACAGTCAATTCCTAAAACAATTAATTTGAATGGGTTTACTAGTACTAATAGTATAGAAGTTGCTAATCTATTTTTTAAACTAGATAATTTCATTATCTACCCATATAGTCAAACTTTTTGATTTATTAGTATAGCATTCTATTAAACCAGCTATTAATTCGGTTTTAATTGATGAGTAACATGGATTTCGTCTTGGTCGCTCAACGACTACAAACAGTTTAGTTTTTACTAATTACATATTTGAGGCTTTTATGATTCGCTCACAAGTAGATGTAATTTACACAGACTTTACCAAGGCTTTTGATCGTGTTGATCATAAGTTATTAATGAGAGTGCTGATAGATTCAGGTTTTGGTGAACCATTATTGTTGTGGTTTGAATCTTATCTACGAGATCGTAAGCAATTTGTTAAGGTACATGGTATAAAATCAGATATTATTGATGTACATTCTGGTGTTCCACAAAGTGGACATCTTTCTCCCTTGTTATTCACATTATTTATCAATGATATTAAAAGTTCACTTGTTAACTGCCATTTCCTTCTCTTTGCTGATGACCTCGAACTATTTTTAAAAATTAATTCATTTAGGTACTTCTTATTATTACAGGACGATCTTAATTCTCTGGTAAATTGAGCTAAAAATAGTGGGTTGGAGCTGAATATTTCAAAATGTCATTCAATGTCGTTTTATAGAACTCGTGATCATATTAATTACTTGTATAGGGTTAATGATAATATATTGTTATCTTCGTGCAATATGATAACTGATTTGGGTATTGTTTTCGATCGGGAATTAAATTTTCATGCTCACCTAGACAAAATGTGTTGCAATCATTTACAACATTAGGTTTTATTAGGCGAATTTGTAATGATTTTAAATTAGTATCTTCTTTAAAAACTTTGTGTGATGTTTTATGTTGGTAACTACTAATTTAATGATACGTTGTAAACTTGTAATTGTTGATAAGAAAAAGTATTGTATGTTCGGTAATGATTAACGTGTGTAACATGCCTTAATGATTAAATTAAATATTGTGTTAATTTGTATTTATTAATTATAAATAATAAAATAATAAAGAACACAAAACTTTGTATTGTTCTTTTGTGAGGTCAATTTTAGAATATGGTTTGATTGTTTGGGATCCAGTTACTGGATGTGATATGATGCAAGTTAAACGAGTGCAACGTAAATTTTTAAACTTTGCGGCATATAAATTAAAAATTGATCATCCACCACATGACTATACACCAAAAATGCAACTATTCGGTTTGTTTACGTTAAATGACAGGAGACTTGAAGCTAATCTAACTTTCCTCAGGCGTCTTATTGATGGTCATATAGACTCTCCTGAACTATTAGAGCTCATCAAATTTAAAGTTCTATCTTTTCACGCACGTCATTTAATTCTTTTTTCTGTACCTAAATGTAATACCAACTACCTAAAAAACCAGCCATTTTATAGAATGATGAGTATTGCTAATAAGGACCCATCAGCTTTATTATATTATTAATTGTTGTATTTTTGTATTTTATATTATTATTGTACATATAAGTTAAGTTTATTATACTGAAATTTGGTCATGTGCCGTATTGAGAATATAAATAAATATTTGAAATTACAAAGACGTGGGACTTGGGGGTGCTTCAGCACCCCCGTAGTTGCGCCACTGGTCATCACGTGTTATTTTTGTTAAATCAAATTTTTCGCACGTAGAAATTTTAATTAAAACAATTAACAACATCACATAACTAAAGGAAATCATATTGAAGAAAATTGCGAAAATTCTATGAATGAAAATCTAACTTCGATGTTTTGAATAAAATAGTTTATTAGAATCATACTTTTTAATGTACGTGGCTTTTTTATATTATGAAAAAAACTATAAAATAATTGAAGTAATAATAACTTTTAACATATTTATTAAATCAAATAAATTGTTATTACATTTTTCGGCGACTAAAAATACTAAAAATAAATTGTTCACCATTTAAAGGTAACAAGTATTAGTTTACTTGCGAGTTTAAAGATGAACATTTTATATGGAATTATTTTAAACATTATAATAAATAAATTTATGAACTAAAAAAAAAAATAATAACAAATAGGATAATGAATTTAACTTACTATTAAGATTATTGTATATGTCTTGTAGGCCCAGTGTAACTTTCCTAAATACCCTATAAATAATTTAAATTAAAAGATATTTAAAAAATGAAATGGTAGCACAGTGGGTTGGGGTTGCGGCACATAGTGGAAGTGGCACAGGTGGGTCAAGTATAGACGATATCTGACAATGGTTAAAATCACTATCCTAAGAAATGATTCGATGCAAATCTGTGGATAGTGTTGTTTCATTTAGAGAAATTGGTGGATTATTCCAAAAGCAACATCAACTCTTATTTCTTTGATTAATTGAAGATAGTATATCTTCTGTAAAAAAATCATTTAAAAAAAGTTTTTATGCTTACAATAAAAAAATACCTTAAAATTAAAATTTGTTTATTTAATTAGAGCGTATTTTAGTTAACAAACAAGGCGACGTAAATGTTACCCAGTGAAATACAGTTTCTGAATAAAAAATATATTTGAATTGAAGATTTCTTTTGTTTTTTATTTTTAAGGTATTGACTGACAAATTTTGAAATGTTATGGAAAAAGAATGTCGACCAATTAAATTTTTTTAATATTTATGTATTTTCTAATATCATTACATTGAAGAATAATTGCAGCAGTGTATGTTACCGTCGTTTTATGTAGAATCTAAATAAAAACCAAATTCCATGTGGAATATTTTGAGAATAATTATTTACTTTGATGATTTGAACTTATTAAATTACATAGCTTATCATAAGACATTATTTTTTTATTTTAATAGAATAACAGATAGGAACCAAAGAAGTCCTATTTTAGATACAACTTACATTCATAACGAAATAATTACTTACAATTAAATGATTCCTTTGATGAAATTATAATAATATTAAATTATTATTATACATAATAATAATGTTATTTTACTTCAATTTTATGTAAGAGTCACTGTTATTACTTTATACCGTCCATAAGCGGATATCCATTGAAAACGTCGGGGGGGCTTACATTTTTTTGTAAATTTAAGAAGCGGGGTTTACCCCTCCACCATTTCATTTTTCATTTTTCATTTACAACGTAAGTAATAATACTGTCCATATTTAATATTTTACATTTTTAATAATCTGTTACTCACAATATTTAGTTGTTTAATACAATTTTATCAATAACATTTTTTTTTTTATGATCCAACTGATGGCTCTTTGTGCAGAAAAGAACTGACATGTATCTATAATACAAATACATAAACATAGTACATAAGAAAAATAAAAATATAAATTAGTGGGTAATAACAGCTATACATATACTTTATTTTAAAACCAGTATTCTGGAGGATTCTGCAAATTTATTTTAAATCGTTTCACTTTCAATACTTTTAGTAAGGTCTTTTATTATGTGAAGAATTGATAAATTAGAGAAGCGATCTTGAAGCATGGAAGTTCTCACCCAAGTTTTTATTCTTCGCATAGCTGAAAAACTGCGCTCACAAGTTGCAAAGCAAACTGGTAAAGTTAGTGCTACTTGTAGCATTTTATATATATTTGGAAATATTTCATTTATAATAGCAGTTTTTAAATCTGCAATACTCAAATCACTGTCTTTATTGAAGCAATTTATCGCAACAATCATTTCTGCTTTTAGGTTTTGTTTATTGATATCCAATGAGTCCTAAAATATATAATTAAAAATTATTTTTGATATTGTGTTACTCTATACAGTCTATTTCAAAAAATATATATTTTTACATTATACAATAAAAAACAAATATCAATATACGTTGTATAAATAAGTATTAAATGTATTATAAATATTACCTTATAATGATCAATAAATATTAAACTTCTTTCATATTGAAGTTGCATGAATTTGTCTACAGAAACAATCAAATTTTCTGGAGAAAATCTTTTTTTTTAATTTATTGTAATGGAGTCAAATATCTTATAATAAATATTATTTCTATAATAGTCATGAACAGATAAAGTTGACTCAACTGGTTCAGATGTTGCACTTTTTGAGGTAGTTAACATGTAATCATTAAGACGAGTCAGCTCTTTTCTCTTTCTCTTAGAATCTAAATGATTATTTTTACAAAAACATTAAAAATTATACAACATAAATACTTAATTAAAATACAAAATAGATTACAAACCTCGTGCTTGATATGGAATTTCAATTGTAATATTATTATCAACTGCAAATGTTTGTATAGACTGCCAAATCTCACTAAAAGATTCTGGAATACGCGAACTTTCGTAACTTTTTTATAGTACTATTAATTATTGTTACTGCTTTACTAATGTGATATTTTTGTCTTGCATCATGTTGCTCATGATATAATGATACTGAGTACTTGGCGTATGACAAACAAATTAACAATAAAAGAGGCTTTTTGTAAATTAGTAAGTATTCCTGTTGAAATAAAAGATGTATGGAACAATTTTTAAATACATTAAAAATTATTAAAAAATGAGTATTACAACAATTAATACATATTACCTAAAGCTGAATTTACATCTTTGTCATTGTCATCATCATTTTCTTCTTGTAAGTCATGAATAATTGCTTGGTTACAGTCTAAGACTGCATCACAATTATTATATCTACAATTCCACCTTGTATCAATTATTCTTCCAATTGTTTTAAATTTCAGTCCTAATTTTTTTTGCATAACAATCAGTTGTTGATTTTTTGTAGGGTACGAAAAATTATTATAAATACTTTCTAACGTATTAAAGATACATCTAGTTTCCTTAAATAAAATAAATTAAATATGAATTAAAATTTAAACATTGGTGCATAATTTTTTTAAACTTACTTTCACAAATTTACACATGTCAACAACAACGAGATTAATACGGTGTGCCATACAATGAGTATAAACTGCATATGGATATTTGTTTTGAATTTTTGCTTGAACACCATTAAATTTCCCAGCCATAAAACTTGCTCCATCATATGATTGACCAATAATTTGTGCTTTGTTACTTAAATTACAAGCTTTGAAATAATCAAAAATATGTTGACTCAAAGCTTCGGCATCTTGCTTAACTGACCAATCTACAAATCCTAAAAATCCCTCATGAACATTTAAATCTTTGGTGTATCTAACACATAAAGCCATTTGTTCTTCCTTGTAACAACTGAAAATATTATTTATCAATATCATAATTTTAAGTTTTTAATTAATAATAGGTTTATAGGTACTAACCGTGCTTCATCACACATTATGCCAAACACACCATCTCCTATTTCATGTATAATTGTGTCTCTAATACTATTAGCACAAAGACTAATAAACTGCTCTTGTATTGAATGGCTAGTATAATTAATAGTTTTTTGAAAGTTTTCTGCAAATTCAGGTACATGTTTGAAAAACAAAATACAAGTTTCTATAAAATTCCCTAAAACAAACATTGTTGCACATAAATTTTATTCAGGAATAAATCATTTTGTACAGACTTATAATATTATATGTAAGCAATTTAAACTTATACCTAGCTAAATGGTTTTTAAGACATCGCTGTCACAGTCACGGATTGTTTATTATCAATTATGTCTATCAATAGATATACTTTTTATATAGTCAGTTAGTAAATTTATGAACTCAAAACAATGTGCCTTACTACCATTGATAATAGCAATGCTGTGTACCTGCGAATATTGATGTCATAAAAAAACAATTAGCTACCTGTATTTGTAATACCTTGTGTATTATACTTATATATTAACTCAAAAATTTGAAACTTTAAATGTTTATATCTAATAAAAAAATTAAGTTATATTAAAAATTCAAATGCCATTTACTATTAAATTAAAAACTCAAACATTTTATTAAATTAAAAATATGTGTTTCCATTTAAAAAAACAAAGTTGACCCCCTTCCAAGGCATAAGGGATGAACTTAAAAAGTATTACATAGTTAAAAATTCAAGNCGATGAGCTTAAAAAGTATTACATAGTTAATAATTTAAGAATAATGTGTAACTAAAGATAACCAAAAAAAAAAAATAAATATTTAAGTATATTTATTCTGTAAGTAATTGAGTGGGTTATGATAAAAAAATCACTCTATATATATATGTATGTAGTACTGGTTGCTATATTTTAGTATTTTATTGTATTTAATAAGTTAATCATATACACAATAATTATACTACAATTATAATTATATTGTCATAAATATATAATTACATTTTAAATGTTGATTAACAAATTAAACGTTTTGTGCAAAAAATGGGTGATGGACGAACGAAATTTTGATTAAATTTGTAGAGTTATACCAATCAGAAGATATTTTATGAAATGCAATGCATCGTAATCACAAAGATAAAGCAAAAATGAATGACGCATGGTGCAGAATTAGCAAGGTTTTGAATGAATCCATAGAAGATTTGAAAAATAAAAAAAATTCAATTATGGCTACATTTCGGATACATTAAATCAGGAGCCGGCCAGAATGATATTTATCGACTAATATGGTTTTTATATGATCAAATGGAAAGTTTTCTTGGAAAACTAAACCATTGCAACGTGACATTAAATACTGAAGAGGTAAATATAATATAATTACTTCATAATTACTAGTTTATGTTTATTTATTGAAAGGTATTAATTATTATTATAAAACTATGACGTTATTGTTCTCTTATTCTTATTGAATTTTCTAGTGATCTACGTGGTAGTTGATCGATAGGTTTAATAGCACAATTTTCGCCGATTTCTCTTCTCCATGAACCCGGTTGAATTATCATTCCAGTATTATCACAAATGTCTATTGCACCGGGAGGGGTATAAATTGATACAGACGTTTCATTTCTCATTAAAAAATTATGCAATAGCACACATGTCATTGTTATGATGGAAACTTTTTCTAATTCTATTGAAATTTGTTTTTTGAAAATTCGGAATTTAGCAGCCATTATTCCAAATACATTTTCAATCACAACACGGGAGCTTGATAATTTTTGATTAAAAATGCGTTTTGGAGAGCCAATCTCATGGTTTCCAGTAAATTGTTTCATCAAGTTGGTATGGAGAACAAATACACCATCTCCTAGGAAAACATATGGTAAATCAACATTTGAGCCATGAAGGGAAGAAGGAGCAGGAATGTTAAGGCTGTTTAAGCAAATTATTTTCCACAGCAAAGAATTTTTAAACACGCCACCGTTGCTATTTCTACCTTGGCTCCCTTATCAGCAAATATAAAACGATAGTCACTACTAACTAATCCCATTAAAACAACACTAAAAGAGTTTTTATAATTGTAGTATTCTGAACCAGTATTAACTGGGCATTGCAAAACTATGTGTTTTCCGTCAATTGATCCGATACAATGTGGAAACTTTTCTCCAACCCCTTTTTCTATTTCTAACCAAACACTTAAAGTTGATGGTAGCTGAAATATAAATGAAAATAAATAATTAATATTTGTGGGTATTGTATTGTATAATGTAATTACTAGGGAAAGGATTTAAATGCTCTAAAAATAAGAAAAATACGATTTAAAGCACTCATAACAGATTTTTTTTAAATGCGATTAAAATTATTTTTAATATTGGAAATTTGTTTTGTTATTTATTAATTATTGTTTAAATTCTTATTCTTATTATTCGTTTTCTCCTATCTTCTTTTTACCCTTTATATAATCTTGTTATTATTATAATTATTTTATCACATTAATTTTTTCAATATTCTAGGGAAACATTAGAAAATGATAATGACAACGGCAATGAATTTAATTCACCTGACAATTTAACTAGTCAACCAACACAAGAAAATATCCTGATACAACGACAAACATCTCGCCAGCGAGGAAATCCTGAAGTTGAAGAGGCTGGAAGACAAATGAAGAGGGCGTTTAATACTTTAGAAAGTGTTTTAAATAAAAAACACGAAAATGATGAGTATGATTTATATGGAATGATACTAGCAAACAAATTACATAAGTTACCGGAAAACGAACGAGAACTTTTTATGTACGATATTAATGGAATATTTATTCAACGCTATCATCGGCTTAATAATCCCTTGTTATCTTCACGACAGCCTACATTTTCTGGAGAATTCTATACAAGAATGAATACTGCAAATTATTCATCATCTACTGTAACTTCTTATTCTGATTCGTCGTGTCTATCACTTTCAATACTTATTCCGGAACAACCTTTAACACCATATTCTACTTCTTCAAATTCAAATACACAAAGTAATACTTCAAACCAATCGACAGTTTCTAACTCCTATATTCAAAATATAGAGGATACAGTTTATTACACTGCTGTTGGTAATTATGAAGAAAGTAATAACCAGTGATGATAGTGTAGTATTCAACACGTAGTTTATATAATTATGTTCCTAGTTATTCTAGTAAAAGTAACTAATTTATTTTAATTTCTAATATTTGTTAAAAATGTTTTCATATAAATATTTAAAAAGTTAATATTTATGTTTTTATTGTTAAATTTTTATTTTATTTTACGAACAGGTTGTTCAAATAAAACAAATGTCATTTTCTTTTGCACAATTTAAAATATAATTTTATTATGAAAAGTGTTATTTATTAAGTAAATAATTATAAAATTTTTACCTTCACTTCATTTTTAAGAACTTGATTGCTACACATACTTCTGGTACAATCTTTGATATTAATTGGCTAGATACTTTAAACAAAAAGTGAAGGCTTTTATAACTATCACCTGTAGCTAAAAATCGTAGCGTAATTGCTAGTCTTATCTTAGCTGGGATTGAATCTCTCAGTTGAGTATCTTGTTTTGAAATAATAGGTGAAATTAAAGTGAGTAAATATTCAAAATCTGATAATGACACTCGAGTAAAATTTTCAAACTCGCCTGAAGGTTCATATAACAATTCACCAATACATTTTCCATGCTTTGCCTGAAAGAAAAATTAGTAAAGAGTAGTACAAATTAAAATTATTCTCTCCATCATTTTTCTTATTACGCCATTAAGGTCAATACTTAATATCAAACTAACTTACTTTGTTCTGTTTCTGTGTATGGTTGCTGTCCACCATCTCCTCTTATTGGATTGTTTAATTTTTTTTGAATGGCTTAAATTTAGAAAATTATAATAGCTATATGCACACAATGCAGCCGCAGCTGTTATTTCAACCACATCCATTTTGTACAACCGCTAAAAACAACTGAGTGAGTCACAAAACTACACGAGAGTACACTCTCGGTAGACTATGCATTCGTGCGCTACCTCGCCTCGCGTTAACTGGACAAGACTCTCAACGAGGCGACCTCGCGAAAGTATGGAACTAGCATTTAAATTAATGACGTACCCGTATCATCAAAGCACTAGCGATAAATAATAAATCAACGGCCATGACAACCCAGACAGTAGTAGATAAAGGTAACACCATATTACTTTCCACAGCTGTTGTATTAATATGCGGTGACCGATTATGCGTAGAATATTGTTAGACTTGGGACCAGAGTGTAACATGATAACTTTAAAAATGGTACAGCTATTGAAATTAAAACGGTGCAATGTAAATCATAAGATAAATGGAATTGGAGGCACTGAATAGCACAGAATGCATAACACTACGGCTACGGTCAGTTCAAAGGGTTGAAAATGTTGTAATAAGCCCTCTACACAAAAACACTATGTTATTCTGTTCTGATATATTTTATGATTCTAATTATCAAATTATTAATCATAAGTGGCGAGTGGCAACACTGTTATTTCTGTTTAAATGATTATTTTATTTACTAACAATTTTTACCGTTATGAATTATTATTGTACATAAATGTACTATTGAGTTATACTTTCGGTCATTTTGTTATGTTTATGATTTAATCTTTATATTAGTTGTTATTAAACTTTTTATATAACTTTTTTAATCGCAAAAAAAAATTATAAAAAGCTTATTAAATCAACATACATGTATGTCAAATAAAGTGAAAATGTTAAATTTTTAAAATTAAAGTTACGACTGAGAATTATTTACAACATTTACTTCTGTCAATGATTAATAATCAACAAGAATTTAAAGTCGTGCTGAGCAATTTATTTTTTTAATTTTAATATATGTTCAAAAACTTGACCACCAGTATCTAAACAATGTGTTAGGCGTTTTTCTACTCTAAGTAATGTAACATTTTTTAATGTATATGGTATTAACTAGAACATACTAATTTTATTTTATTATTTAAATATTTATATCTTATTATATAATAGAACAAGGAAAAAAACGCTTTTCTGGGAAAATTAATTAGCGTGCTCGGATTTTCAAAATTATTTTTTTCAACGAAAGTACTCGGTCACCAGACTCCAGGAAAATTATTGGCGAAGGTCGGAAAATTTTTGCCGCTCACCCGCGAGCATTTTAAAATTTTGTCCGTTTTTGAGAAAAACGCTCGCTGAAACCAGCGTTTTAAGACTTAAGGTTTGAAATTTTCATCAGACTCGCCCAATGACATTCCTGAGATATGATAAAAAAATCAATTCAATCCGTTCATTTTTTACAGTTTTACGAGCTTTTTTTTTTTTTTTTAATCCACGCGCATGGTTTTTATATGCGCAGTTTATAGTTCATTTCTGCTCATACGTTTATTATGAACCTTAATTATATGGTGTCATATGTATTTTTATTAGAACACTATTTTGCATTTGCACATAGCACTATATTTTATCAAGAAATATTATATGTTATATATAAATTTCAAGACGATTATAATTATATAAGTTTGTACTTTCATTTTCAAAACAGTACATTTTTAATAATCATTTTTTTTCTCATCTATGATGTATGAGTCTATGAGTTTATCGTTTAAATTGGGATTAATCTATGACAACTACACCCAGAGAAAAACCTCGATCTATATAATAAATTCATTGTTCAATTTGATAAATATATCATTACTATTGAATCAATGATATATTTATCAATATGATATTTTTTTTTCTTGTCTTGAACAATAATTATTTATAAGAATAGTTATTTTGTTCGTATTAATAAAACATTATCATAAACCCTTGATAAAATTTCTCTTTCAATTTTGATTGAGGTTTTTCTTTGGGTGTATGCTGTCAAACGTTAAATCGCAATTATCAATATTTTTATCAAAATTAAATTTTTTACATAGTCCCGCGTAAAATACCTGCTGAATTTTTTTAAAATTATTCTACAATATAAACACAATTAGTATAATTAGAATATTAATAATTTTTGTGTATACCAGGTGTGTATTTAAAAATATAGTTTAAAAAAACTAAAAAACACGCTTTTAAAGCNTATGGACCCCCCTTGAACCAGCGCTATCAATATTTTTTTAGGCAACTTCTAATAAATAAGGACCTAATGTCCTTTTTTTTCATCATTACTTTAATTTTTAAGACTACACTTTGACGTTATAATAGATAAAATCTATTCAGCTCAAGAAAAAATGATACTTTAACACAAGTTTTCCATGCAATATTTTTCTCTTCCATTTAATGATACTTTTATAACCTTTTATTTATATTGTAAAAATCAACACATGAAAAAAGCTGATTTTATTATCCATTAGTAATCTTGTAATATACAAACATTTGTAAGTACTTAATAGATATTTCTCAGATTAGTATTAAATGTAAACTAATATTTAAGAATATCAGACATTTCTAATTTCATTTCCCGAAAAAATATGTATACCACATAATAATTTTAGAGAAATTGAAATTTATACTTTATACTTATATCATACTTAAAGATTATCTGTTGACAAAATCGTAATTGATAATTTTTTCTAACTATACTTATGATCGATACTAATTAAAAGTCTTAATTCGTCCTAAAACTAGGTTCAACATGAATACAGAACTGCCTAAGCACATTCATATTGAAACGTCTTACAATAGTGATTTTAATCGCTGTTAAATATAAATTTAAACAGGTTTCCCATTTTTCTGGCATCTTTCCATAGTCGCAACTAGAATAAAACCTTAGGGGCTGTTTTTTTTCACACTAAAAAATATTTGTATAAAAGGACACATTTATATCTTAAATTTTTTATAAAGTCAAAGTAACTTAGCCTCTAGTTCAATACAACTAAATGTACTAGTTTTTTGGAATATACAGCACTTTAGATTAATCATAATTCAATTGCGTTTTTACCCAAAAAAAAAAAATATTGAATATATAAATTATAATGTATGATAAAATTAGCATTTAGATTAATAAAAAAAAAGTGCTGTAATTGATATAAAAATTATTTGACTATGAAAAATTAAAAATTTTGTTCTTAGATTAAAAATGCCTTATAATATATAATAATTATATATAAATATAAATAATTGTGAATGAATCAATTTATTTAAGATATATTGAACAAATGACTTTTTCATAACAAATGTTAAAACTCGTACATGCGACATATCTTTCAGAAAATGTTAGCATAGTACAGCCAGTTTTTTTTTTACATTTGCAAATTTATAGCGCATTCTAGTGACATAACTGTCTCGATATATCAAACTATGTACAGCCCACTATTAAAACTATGTTAAAAAACTGTCAATTTTATAATGGAAAAAGTAATTACACTATTTTTAATGTAATTGATACTAACAATTTTTATTATTTTTAATCATTATTATTAGTGTTTTACATTTTCTCTTTAAAGTTATGGTTGTATTAGAGAGCACAAGGAAACCTACATAGCCCAGCCACAACAGAATTACACCTTGGTACTTATACACACAGACGCAATTTGATACTGACAGGATTAAGTAATCCACCATACATTATTATTATCATTAATTATTAAGATAGTAATATGCCAACAAGATTGACATAACATTTCTACTACAATGTAATATAATAATTAAGTATTAATGTATTATAACAAACTTGATACACGGTTATTACACGGAAAGGTTTTACACTAAAAGTATACATGATTTCTATAAACTAACAAAAAATATTTCTAAGTTATTTTACATTAATATTCGAAAATCGCTGTATGGGTATACTTCTAAATATGTTTTAATGCAAATAATTTTCTATTCATTTACCCAGTCCATAAATAACATAGTGTACAATAAAAAATTGACATGTATGTTTAATTTTAATTTTAGTTCTGGCGTTCGAAAAAGTTAACAAATGCAACGCAATAATATATAGAGTTGAAAATATGTTGAGTTTATAGTGGGCGATTTCATTGAATTGGTTGATCAAATTAAAGCAGACGTTGTTGTCGTGTCATTCATTTGAGGCGGCCCTAGTTATTCAAAAAAGAAGCAATATACTTTAAAATACATGTGCAAGAACAGGGAAATCACAGATATAAAATTTTTATACTAATACTCGTCTTGCTACAATACAATATATAAAAATTAATTATTTTATAAATGTTAAATTGTTACGGTTGACAATAAAAAATAAATTCTGTATTCTCACATTTACTTAGCCAATATATTGTAAAACAAATTATAAATCTTATTTAATGTTTTAACAATTTCATAAAAACAAATATATATTATTACTATTAAATAATTATTTTATATATTATTTCAAAATAAAGGACCCCCTTAACATTTTAATAGATTAATGTGAGCAAACCTATAAATTAATAATATTTCGATTTAAAATTTTTTTCTCATAATGCTGTTCATTTTTATTTTTTAATGAAATAAATAAAAATTTATAAAATGTGATTATTTTGTTTATTTTTGTTCATTATAAATGGTATAAAATATAAATTCTGTACATTAATATTTAATAAGCTTATTATATATTGTAAAATAAAATACATATTATATATAAAGTGCTAATTAAATCATAATACCAAATATTTTTTATTATTATTAAATGTAATTACACTTAATGTATTAAATGATCATTTTGTATAATATTATAAAATGAAGGACATTTATATGGACAATTATTAATTAAGGACAATTATTTGTCAAAATAGTTATCTCCAATTTAATAGAATGTGTTATTTTGAATATAAAATATAATTAATATAAAATTACAAACCGTACCAATTGGCCAGCAATTATTAAATTTATACAGACGTATACATGTATAATTCGAAAAAATATAATTATAATATTGGCTAAAAACAATTAATGGCGATTGTGAAATAACATATTTATTTTTCAATTAATGAAAAAATTTGTTTTAGCAACGTTATTTGTCGTTGATCAATAAATTCATGTTTACTATTTATTTAAGCCAATAATAATCACAAAATATTTTTGACAATTATTAAATTTTTGTAATAAAATATGATAAATATAAAGTTACAAACCATACCAGTATGTCCATTAAATAAAGCTACTGTCAACTTCTTAAAAATAAATTATATCTTTAAAACTNCTACTGTCAACTTCTTAAAAAATAATTATATCTTTAAAACTATTTCTATAAATCAAAGAGTAGATATTTTTTTATAATATTCATTCGATAATAACTCATTTCGGTCACTAAAGAACAATTGATTTTTATTCTGACGTATATATATATATAATTCGAAAAAATATAATTTAAATATTGGCTACAAAACAACTTATGACGATCGTGAATAACATTTATTTTTGAAATAATGAAAAAATTTGTTATAGCAACGTTATTTGCCGTTGGCCAGAAAATCGGAAAAAAAATTAGTATAAAAAATCTACTAATCTAAAAATTCATTGGGACTTTTAGTATAAACAGCGAACAAAGAACATATAAACTCTTGTAGAAGCCAACTAGTCTAGAAGTCTCAGTCGCAACGAAATCAAATTTCAAAAATCTTGAAATCAACGCGACATTCGCAAGTTGACCAGTCTAGAAGTCTCTGTTATATTATTCATATTGTTTAAATTTATATTTTTTTACTTTCATTTTCTTTATCGAGTGAATTTCATTGATACAATGGACACTTTTCTTATTTTTCGTATTTGGTGCTTCTTTATTTTTTTATTCCTATTTCAATTATTCAAGATCTCGCTTTTAGTGTTATTTTAGTTTTAATATTTCTTATATATTTGGACGATGAACTTTCTAAAAAGAACAAAACTATGAAATCGAAAACTAAACCAATTAGTACATCAATTTCGACAACAGACATCAATACTAAACCTATTTTGACAAATATTTTATCAGATCATAAATCTACAGAGACATCCACACTAATTACGACTGTTGGAAACGAAGAAAACATTTTTGAAAATAATACACCCGACAATTCCATTGAAACTAACCTGAGGAGTGCTTTTTTGAATATATCACACCCCTACCTACCGAATAATGACTTGACCGATAATGTCACTATCTGTCAGCTCCAAAACGCTACAGAAGTGTGCAAGAACAACATTTCGACTCAAATTAATCACTCGACTGAATCAATTCAATCACATACTCTAGATTCGTCATTTACCAGTAACACTTCACAAATTAAACATAACTTGGACAGTAATAGCACCAATAAGACTTGCTCTCATGATATACCAAAGTACTTATGGAATAAAAGACACTTCCTGTTTGAAAAATTTGATGACGGAATTCTCTTGGACTATGGTAATTTAATTAATACTCTTTATTAATATTTTATTTTTTTAATGTTAACTATTATTTTAGAATCATTTTATTCCGTGTGCCCTGAAATTTTGAGCAAGCATATTGCCAAGAGGTATGAGGGTTACAATGTAGCGATGGACCCGTTTTGTGGCGCCGGAGATAATGTAATTCAGTTAGCAATGAAGTATAAAAAAGTGATCGCGATCTCTATCAATGTCTATTCACCCGAAGAAATTGGAATTTGCTAAGAAGAATACGGAAATTTATGGTGTGAGGGATAAGATCGAATTCATCGAGGGTAATTTTTTCATTTTAGCTAAAGACCTGAAGAAATACAAAGCTGAAGTCATTGTAACTTCGCCTCCATGGGGAGGACTGTCGTACAAAAACTATAAAACATACAGTTTGGAGAAAAATATGTGTAGTGAATACGGAGGTGGCGGTCGAACGATCTTCGAATTGGGCCGAAGTATTGCTCCAAACGTAGCACATACCTAAAAGTACTGACCGAAATGAAGTAAGTTTCTATTTCTTACGCAATACATATAACATCAGTTAATACTTTTCAATTAATTTTTTAGTTGTTCAAGTTAGGAAAATACTTTAATAACAACATAGAAAGACAGAATAACTTCATCAATGGAAAACTGGATTCCATCACCACATTTTTTGGTAGATTTAAGAACATGAATTCAAAACGCAAACAAACTAGTATAAAACTCTTCAGTCAAAAAAGAAAACAATATTAATATTAATATTAATACGATCAAATTTTGCGATTGAACTGATATAGACTATTACTAATCCCGACATAAATATAGAATGTTACAAATTTTAACTTCCAATAATTAATGATTATAAACTATGACAAATTTACCGATTTCAACAATCATATTTTCCTTACAACTCTCATATTTTGCTTTAGCTATAACTGCAGGATGATCCTTTTATCTTTAATGATAAATTAAGACAAGTATACACTCGTTATTTACAATTTTGGTACTCACCAGTTATTTTTTTTGATTNTACTTGTTATTTACAATTTTGGTACTCACCAATTATTTTTTTTGATTTATTTTTTATTATTCATTAATTTTTTTAAAATACTTTTCATAATAAAAACATGATATTTTAATATTATATGCGCCTTTGAATTTGTTTTTTTTATATTATGATTCATATTTATTTCTAATTTTTCAACTTGTTTTCTCACAATCGTATAAATCATTGTTAACGTGTCTTAATGAATTATTTATTAATAATTTTAAATGCTAAAATATAAACAATTAAAAATTCCTCATTTTCAAATAAAAGTCTACAAAATTTCCTTGTTTTTAGTTAGCGACGTATATGAAATCGCGATTATTATTTTAAAAATATTAAAATGTTTGAACGCAGCGCCCGGTGGTATTCACGCGGGTTCGTTAACGTCCGTGGTTTTGTTTTGTCTTAAATTTTTAGCTATGTCGAGGATAAAGAATAAGGTGAGTAGACTGTATGTTTGAATGTAGAATAAATTTCACAAGATATAATTATAACAATTAAATGTATTATACAAGTAATATGAAATCTTATATACACCAATGTGGATAGGGGGACACTTAATACTAATGCCACTAAGGCGATGATATAAACAAATAATAAATTATACAAATGAGTCTTAGAAAAATAAATGAACAAGCATTATACTTATCTGCTAAATGAAACGGCTGATGATAATGTTGAATATTGAAAGGATCAATTGAAGTCGAATGCAAGNATGTTGAATATTGAAAGGATCAATTGAAGTCTAATGCCAATAGCTGACCAATGTGTTCAATATGCTGTCAACGATATTGTGATGTATCTCAGAAAAATATATAGACCCAACGGCGATAAACTGAGCGCACAGGCTACGACGATCGCAAAGGTGATATTTTCTTTTTACAGTAAAACGAATACAAAAAAACTGGCTCGCAAACGCCATAGAGCTTATAACAGAAGAAGCGTTAAGATGGCTGCGACAATGGTAACATAGAGAGAAAACCGACAACAACTCAATGTAACACAACGATAACATGAATAATCAAAAACATATTTTCTTGACACCATATTCGATCGATGTGTATCCAACATTTTTAGATATCAGATCATTTCCCCTTATACAGAAGGGTTCAACTTAAGACCTACGAAAAAAAGTAGAATTTTTTGAACTCGAAACTTATGTGACTACTGTATACTTTACGTTAAAAAAAAAATTAGACCCACGGAAAAATCAGAGTTGGCAGTCGCTAGTCTAGTTTCCTTCCGAATAACTACTCTGATTTTAGGAACAAATTTTTTGTAAATTAAAATTATGAAAATTTAGATTATCTACCCATTTGTTTTTACCTTTAGGTTTAATTTTTCAAAATAATGTGCATTTTGCTAATAAATATTATTAGTCAGAAAAATGTTTGGGGTCACCTACAATTACCGGCACCGATGACCAACACTCAGCGTGATCCTTCTGTGAGATGAAACACTTAGAGTATAGGACCGCTAGCTTAATTTCAACTTAGATAAACCCATTCGATTGAAAAGTACAAAGACCCTACAAATTCGGTACTTGAGACCACTTAATAATGTTTTAATTAGAAATCCTGTAAATGAGCAAAATAATCATGGTCGTATTTAAGATTTTGCAGTGGAGCGGCTAGATAAATTTTGGCTCCTTAATTTTTTTGAAGATTTAAATAATAAATTATAAACAAATTCCAATGAGGCTGAAAGGTACATTATACAGAGTTATTCATTAAGGATAAGACACTCATTTTCTCGATAACTATTGAAAGTTTTTCATTTTTGGTAAGGAAATATTGTTTGATTCCAAAAACTCTACAATAATATGTAGTAAAAACATCATTTTTTTCACTCCTTCAAGGTTAAAAAACATTAATTTGAATTTTCATAAATGGGAAGTTCTATTTTGAATTTATTATTATGATTGAAAATAAAAATACAAACAACTTTGCTCTTAGTAGTTATCACAAAAAAATAGTATTAATCCATACATTTTTCAAAAAGTTATATAAATATAAAGTTAAACATGTAAAATATAAAATCGAGAATTTTCACACAAAAATAGCATTCGGTTTATCATCTATACTGGACTCAACTATACTATGTCCCCACTGTTCTGGTGTTTTTGTTATTACAAAAATCATAATTTTTTTATTAACTTAGGTAAGATATACAGAGTGATCAAAATCTGGTAAGACACTTATTTTCTCAAAAACTATTGAGAATTTAAAATTTTTGTAAAAAGAAATATTATTAAGTTTATAAAACTCTACAATAATATGAAGTTAAATACATTTTTTTTTTATCTCTTCAGGGATAAAAATGTTAATTTATATTTTTTTTTATTGGAAACCACTATTTTTGATTTGATAATATGATAGGAAAAAAAATTACAAACAATTTTCACTATTAAATTAACACTATTAAAACCAATGTGGACCTACGGTCTTCAATTGTGGGGTATTGCTAAAGTATCTAAGACCAACAAAATCCAATAGTTACAGAATATTGCCCTTAGAAAAATTATGAATGCTCCACCTTTTGTGTACAATTATACCCTCATAAAGATCTCACAATGAAAAATGTGACAGAAGAAGCTGTAGATTTCTACAAACGCTTTCATAATCGCCTACAAACCCACCAAAATCCACTGATAAAGAGTCTCTACACTCAAACGATATCGGGGAAACCCCGGGTGTCGTCTAAAAAGGAACTAGTGCCGTGACTTGTTATAATAAAAAACAAAAAAAACAACCAAATTCTAGACTCTAGATAGCGTTGTCTTACAGCCAAGTGTCACCAATGGGTGATTTCTTAATTCAAAATATTCATGCAACTATTATAATATCATATATACTTATTGTGCTATGTTGTACAGATTGTATATTTCAAATTGTAAATAAAAAAAAAAACTTTTCAATAAAATATGTCATTAGACAGCAAGCTGCGGTAAAAATGGAAGAATTGTAAGGTTAAGGTATATAATTTCAAAAGTTGGTGTTATTTTTATAACAGTAAAATATTGAAAATTAGAATATGTGAACATTTGTCTTTATCGATATAATGTGAATAATTAGTAAAATTGGCTAAATTATAATTTAACAATAATAGTAGTCAGAGGATTTTGGATACTTGAAATGTTTTCTGTTTATGTAAAGTTTGTTGTCGTGACATAAGAATTTCGTGGCCGAAAAACGGAGAAATAGAATCGTATCATTCGTCGATATAATTGTGTTGAATTTCCAAGTTGAGGTCTAATATTTTCCAAATTATATCATCTAGAAAATCAATTGATCAACAATCATTACAATTGTGGTTTACCTATAGAAATAAGATTAACTTACCTCGTTTCAACCTGTAGTTTTAGGTATGTGCAGTGTATATGTAATATTATTAATATTATATATAATAATTATTTATTTTTAGTTTTATATTCTGTTACGTTAGTAGAGATAGAATTGTATAAAAAAGGAAGAATTAGGATAAAACAGCGTATTCATGTATTGTTAATTATAATTATGAGATATTTATCTCATATAATATGCAATTAAAAATAAAAAGTCAAAAACGTTTTTTTTTATAAAATAAATTTTTAAATAAATTTTTGTAATAACAGTAAAATTTACTTTTTAAATTTTAGCTAGTTTATTGACAATGTTGGATACACATAGGTCTTCTCTCTATGTCTAATTTGCGATCGCCATCTTAGCGTTTTTTAGATATAAGCTCTATAGCTCTTGCGAGTCAGTAGTTTTTGTATTCGTGTTTTATAAAAGTAAAATATCATCTTTGCGATTGTTGTATCCTTGTGCACTTAGTAGATAGCCGTTGGGTCCACATATTTTCTGAGGTACATTACAGTACAGTTCACAGCATATTGTGCACGTTGGTCAGCTACTTGCGTTCGACTTTAATTGATCTTTTCAATATTCAACATAATCATCAACCGTTTCATTTAGCCGATAAGTATAATGCTTGTTTATCTTCTTTTTAAAACTAACTCACATTTATAATTTATTATTTGTTTATATCATCGCATTGTGGCATTAGTATTAAGTGCCCCCCCCCCTGTCAATATTGATGACTATAAGATTTTATGATTCATGTATAATACGTTTAATTGTTATATGTTTTGAAAATTCATTCCACATTCATTCATACAATCCACTCACCTTATTCCTTTTCCTCGATATAGCCTAACTTAAGA